CTTTAAAAATTAATTCCTCTTAAAATACTCATGCAAATGACCCCAAATTAATACCATACAATCTAACATGGGTCTAGATCATTCAGTTAAAACAGTTTTGAAAGATGAATGGCCATTTAGGAGAAATAAATAAAATGGCACAGTCACTCGGTTTAAAATCCAGAACAGGGGAGGGGGTTTTGAAAATTCATAATAAATTCCTCACTGACCCAAAAACTACAAAATTTTGATCCAAGGCAGAAAAATAAGTTTAAAACATTTTCCAAGTATAAACAAGGCATTTGAGTGAGTAAAACTCCAGTTATACCAGAAAATACCCGAATGGCCCTGTTTCAATGCAGTAGTGAGAAATAAATCATAGATAAATTAGTACTTACCCAAATCATACACAAGACCTATCAATATGATGAGAACAGAGAGATGCAGAGACTCCTAAAATTTCATGATTTTCTAAGCAGAACACCTATATGAAAATAATTTTAGAACATGGAGACAAAATACGAAGAAAATACTAGCCGAAAGCATGCATGCATATAAATAGTGAAAATTTGCTTTCGCTTACAAAAGGCTGGGGATTACCGATTAATTATCCAAAATAGGGTAATCCTAATTACTATTACACATATCGTCTTTTAATAATTCCCACCGATCGGAGGAAGCGAACGGTAGGCCTTTACAAGCATATTATACAAATAAAACCACATGACTAAATTAAGAGCCAACACAATCCACAACCCCTCCATACGATCTCCTTCCGATTCTCGAGCTCGATTCCCAACTTCACTCCTCGGGCCCTAAATCGGGTATACCTACAAACATACAACACCTATATGACCCTTTGAGGATTCAATGAGAATCTTGAAGTATTATCGAATACACATAGCACATAGAGCATACATATATCTATACATATATACATACATATATCTTATACATGAACATGCAACATAAAGTAAAACAATCATATACTTCCTTTTTTCGTCGGCGTTCTTCATTCACATAATTGCCACACGCATAGAGTGAGATAATTCCCACTTTTATAACCCTATGCCATGACACGTATTCAAGATTATAGAAGGAATTTCCACCATTATAACCCTACGATCCCAAGACCATAGAGTGAGATTTTCCCACCTATATCATCAACACCATAATGCAACATGCATGACATGAAAAATTGTCGGGAATCCCTCGGAAGAGCCAATCCAAGTTACCGGTAAATAACCTCACATATATATTGAATCATGTCTATCTACGTGGGATAAAACCACCCCTAGGCCCTACGGTACCGACTCGCCGTACCCGGGAAATTTACCATAACCTCGAAACACTTTCCAACATAGTTTTATCTTTTAAAATTTCATGACACTAATGCACTCACCCATGCACCCTACTACTTACCCTTCTCTCATCCTCACACCCAATGATTCACATAAGCAAGCAAGAGCACATAGAAAATACACATAAAGTTTCACCAAAATCATTTAGCCATAAAAAAACATAAAGTAACCAAAATCTTAACATGCAAAGACAATCTAACATCAAAGTTCACTAAATCTAGCATTTTTACAAGAATAAAATTCAAGACTTCCATCTTTACATTTATTCAAGTAAATACACTAGATCTTCACATGCAAGAGTATTTTAAATCAAGTTAGCACAAATCCTTAGTTCTTAAATAATTTTACATAGAAAACATTAGATCTTAACATGCAAGACTTTAGATCAACCATCAATCACTAGATCTTAACATGCAAGACCTTAGATCAACAATCAATCACCAAATCTTAACATGCAAGGCCTTAAAACAACAATCAACACAAGATCAATACATAAAAGATAGCAAATAAACCAAATAAGCAATTTAAGCATTTTTTCCCCAAAAATTCGAAAGTTTCATGGCTAGGCCAAAAATTCATTTTCTTTTCACAAATCATCAATCAAACACTAGATTAACACATGCAAGGCACTAATTAAGCCAAATAAGCAATTTTAAACATTTTCCCCAAATTTTCGAAAAAGTATAAAACTTCAAGAACAAAGTTATCTTTTCAAAACACTAACATGCAATCATCATCTAAACCATATAATCACATAATATGCAAGAATCAACAAATAAATCACATAAAAATCGAAAATACTAGTGGTGTTATAGGTTTGGGCAATAATTCAAGAATTCTCACCTCTACTCTTTAGGGGAAGGATTTGTTAGCTCTTTTCTCCCTAATACAAGAAGAGATTAAGAGTTAGATTAGGCATTAAGAAAATAAGAAGAAAACAAAAGAAATTGGAGGAAGAAGAGCTTTGCTCTTTCGGAAAAGAAGAAGAAAGAAGAGGGAGGAGAAGCTTACTCCTAAGCTTGGCCGAAAATTCTCCTTTTGTTGAAATAGAAGGAGACCTTAAACTTATAGATAGTGAGATTGGAGGTGGAGAGTGTATTTTGATCTTGGGCATTGGATGTATTTATAGATTTTTGGAGAGTTCAAAGCCAGTGGAGAAGAAAAGGAAATACATCTTTTTGTGGGGGTGATTTTGTAATTTTCGAAAGTTGAGGTGGTGGTGGTTCTAGGGTGGTTCAAGCTTGAGAAGGTGGTGGCTATGTTGGTAGGGGTGAGGCTGCCGAAATGGAGGAGGAAGGGAGAAGAAGAAAGACCTTTGGTCTTACTTAAAGGAGTGAATAAAGCATGCATAGTCTATAGAGTAGGGAACTAGGCTTGAGTATTTCTTTCTATGCTCAAAGTACAACCACACTAATGCATGTTTTTCTACTAATTAATATTCAAAATTTGAAAAATCATGTGTGTGTGTGTGTGTGATGTCCGAAAATTCAAGAAAATGTGGGGAGGATTTTCTAATTTTCGACATTAATTAAAAATCCTAAAATGCATGATAAAAATTCATTTTCTAAAATTTTGTGCATGATGAAATGTTCATTTAAATTCATATGCAAGAATAAAATCTTAATTCATGAAATAATTTATTTCGAAATAATATCTCGAAATATTTCCTAAGCACATAATTCACATAATCACATAATTCACATAATCACATAATTCACATAACCACCAACCAAAGCAGAACCACCACCCATCAAAATGAGATTCCGGCGACAAATCGACAATCTTATCTCTATTCGCCTCCGATGTAGCATTCCGGACATTCGAATTCAGAATCGCTATCAAAATCATTTATAATGTTTGATGGGTGCTACATCTTCTTTCTTTCTCCATCTCCCGGCGGCGGCGACAGTGGCGGAGAAGTCACGGAGAAAACAGAGCAAAAAAAACAAAGAAGAAGAGAAACATTGGAGCGGTGAAACGGCGGATGAAAAAATAAAAATAAGATTAGAGTTTTGAAAGAGTATAATAGACAATTAAGGGTAATTTTGGAATTATGAAAATATCACATAAGTGGAATATTAGCTAAGGGGGTTTTCTCTAATTATTTTTGGGAGGAGCTGTTTTCTTAACTCATTTTTCTAGATGATGGGGTTTTTGCTAATTATCCCATAAAATAATTGAGCCAATTAAATAAATGACAACAAATAAATTCCAAAAAATAAAATGGGATTATCTCATGGATCTGTTTTAGTTCCACATACGTGTGGGACATATGAGAAGAAAGAATCCTTGTTCCAAAAGATTCTACACACACACGTTTTATTAATGAGTAATAATTCACACCAGTGACGTAACCCAGAAAAGAATACGACTCCTATTTGGATTCTTACAAATAGATTATTAGATAGATTCCTAGTGAGATTAAAGTTGGTTTCCTAGTTAGGGTTTTGGAATTAGGTTATTTGTTGGTACGCTATATAAAGATTGTGAACGGTAAATATAGGGGAAGATTGAATAATATAATAGTATTTTCTTGAAAATTAAAGAAGAAAAAAGATGGAGAGAGGTAGTATAAAATATCTTGTGGCTTTGTTATGCATCACAATTATCTTTTTTCTTATAGGGTACTTCTGTTGCTGGCGAGACTATAACAACGTCCTCGGCCGATCACCGGTAGTAGTAAACGGCGGCGGCGGCCTTTCTTCCTCTGATCCGGACAACCTGCCAAAACTCACCGGCAAAGATGATGATTGTCCGATATGATTGTTCCATGTTGCTATCATGGCTTCCATCTTTAATTGCTCTTTTTTTTTTTTTTTCCGTAATTGTTTCCAGATTCTTAATTAATTGACAATGATTGTCAATATCGTCTTCTCTTTTCTTTCTTTTTTATATTTAACGTTATTATTTCTAGTTTAATTTTGTGATTATCATCAAGCCATCAGTTGTTTCTTAAGAAGACACACACACATAAAGAACAAAAAAATAAGATTCCGACAACATAAATAGGCTGCATATGTAAATACCTTCGCAAGAGCTTATACACATTTGCAGATCGGAAAACACATAGTGAAACTGATTATAACCCATAATCACGTTTCTCTCTCTCTCTCTCTCTCTCATTACTTTTTTTCATGAAGGGAGGTCCAAAATATTTTTCTCCATTTGAAAAAAGTCCACACCCATTTTCAGCCATTATGTTTTCCAGTTTTGCCCCCGCCTGCCACATCATCACTGAGTCACGCGCTTAGCTATTTTCTTTTTTCGTTTTTTTTTTTTCTGCATAGTCGATTAAGGAAATTCTTTAATTTTTTAATTTTTTTTCTATATCAGGTATATTAATCGACTATGACGAAGAATAGTCGATTAAGAATCTTCTACTAAAACATAACAAATTACAACTGCGAAAAAACGGAAATAACCTATATTTTACAAAAAACAAAAAATATACAAACATTATAAATGATTTATACAATTGAAATCAATAAACATGAAATCCAAAAAAAAAAAAAAAAACTGGAGTCGATCAACCTTAATTGACTACCAGAACATAGTCGATTAGCTTAATCGACTATGAACATGTACATAGTCGATTAAGGTTTCACCATGCGCGAAATTCTCTACACGCGCCGTCCTCCGTCCGATAAAAAGAAAAAAACCCAAAATCAGCCTACCCATCGTCACCACACCACCCAGAGCTCCTGCCATGGCCGAACCCGTCAGGTTTTGAGCATGTTCAGCTCCACCAATGAAGCAACATCAGTCTTGAACACCTTCTTCACAATCTCCTCCTTGATGATGGCCTCGCACATAACCGATTTTCCCCTCCCTTCAATCCAGTTCACCGCAGCAGATTTCTTGTCCGAACAGTAGTTGTTTGAGATTTCGATAACGTCCATGTCAGGAAACTCGTTGTTGAGGAAGTCTATGACATTCTGGACACCTTTAGAAACCATGTTCATCCCCATGGCATCCCATGTGCTGCGAGTGAACCTCATATACAGGTATACCGAAGAAGCCGATTAAATCTTACAATTTGATTCTTACGTATTTTAGGAATTAAATTTTACTATTTTATTATTAAAAGATTGAAGTAAAAAGATAATACACTTTAACTATAAATACTTAATTATTAATACGTTATTGTCAATAGTTGATCTTACTCGATTCAAATCTTTGAATAATGTTTACGAACTGAACGGATTTGAGCTTAATCGATTCAAATCGTATTCTTACGTATGTTAGGAATTAATTTTTTTAGTTTTTATGATAAAATTCAATTAAAAAAATATTACGTTAATTATAAATAGGTACTTCAGTTAATACGTTCTTGTCAATTATTAAGCTTTAGGCTTAATCGATTCAAATCTTTGATCTATGTTTACTAATTGAACGCATTTGAGCTTAATCAATTCAAATCTTACTTTGATTAAACTAAATATTAAAAGAAAAATCACAATATAGTATTTTGAGGATATAGTTTCATTTTAAAGTAAGAAAACTAATTGGAATGAGGTGTAATCTATTTTTTTCTACATAAACATCTTATTTTATTTTTTATTCGGATTTGTCACACTATCGATTTAATAACCTAAGTGAGCTTGTATTAAGTCATGCATTTGTTTATATTTAGTTGAGTATTCTTTATATTTTTCAATAATGGAGTTTATTAGTATTATATAAATAATGATAGATGTTTGGGATATTGAACCGCAGTTCTTTATATTTTTCAAACATTATTATATTAAATTTGTTTATAATTTATTTTAAATTATTTAATAATATGAATGTCGCATTTAATATTTTATTTAACATTATTTATATACTTATGTTTATTATCACTTTACATCTTGTCTTACCAATACAAAAAATGATTGTTATATATGTGGTTTTATAAGTTAATGCGCCTCAATGATTAGCAGTCTTTAGGGGTGAACATAAACCCGCCAAACCCGACCCACCCGCCCGACCCGAGCCGATCCGCCCGCTACCCGCCAGTTTTGCATATTAAAATATTGCTGGCAGTTTGGTGTTATGGTAACCCGCATGGTGTGGGTCGGGTTTCGGGTTTGACAATTAAAACCCGTGGCCCGCCCGACCCGCCCGCATCAATCATCATATATTTATATTAAATAACATGTAAATCTATGTTTTAGTGTTCAGCTACCCCTTCTTCCCCCATTTCTCATCCGATTCGTAATACACCAGGAATAAAACACTAAAACACAGAGAAACGGGATAACCAAATGTACCCAAAAATAAATTCTTGAATCTTTCAAGTTTAATTGGAGAAAGGATACGCCTTTGAATTAGGTTTTTGTAATGTAGGATTTGTTCCACCAAAATGGATTGATAGGGAATGAATGTTTTTTTTTTTTTTGAAGAATTGCAGTCTCCAAGGAATGTTTTCATGAGATTTCCTTAAATTTTGTCAATGCATTTGTTGGTATTGCGTATTTTTTCGACCCGCTAACCCGCCCGCCACCCGCCCGTAACCCGCTACACCCGAACCGTGCGGTTTGTGGTTTTAAATAAGCAGATGCGGTTGGCAAAATTGGTAACCCACCGGCGTCGGGTCGGGTTGATTTTTTTACGAAAACCCGCCCAAACCCGCCCGCGTTCACCCCTAGCAGTCTTGAAAGCATTAAGACGTTCCAAGATGAATCCCCAACAAATGCATTTTTGGGCGATTGTTCATCAAATGGAACTGGATCGCTGAGTTGATCCTTTAAAACAGATTAAAACTAATTATTCACTAATATAAAGTCGGATCTAAATTAGACATGCTGGTAAATGATTTATTAGTTGTAACACCATCCATGTTATTTTCCTACAATCGAGATCTAATCCTACAAAATTAAGGATGATTAGAGCATATTTCATATAAATTAAGAACACACGTATTCCACCATAAACAATGCATTTTAACCATGTATTGTAAGCTTAGAAGGGATGTGAAGATGTTTATCATGAAAGGTAACTATGGTATTTTAGAATGTGATCGTGTGGCTTAAATAAATCCTCGAGATATCTATGATTAGTTAAATAGTATAAGAATCTATATCAATTTGCTAAATTACTAATTAATTAGGGCCACCTAAATTTTATACATATTATGCATTCGATGAAGTTTAATAATTTATCGAGTAATATCCCACTTTATTATTGTAGTACATGCATGTATCCACATGTATATATTATGCATAACGCTTACATCTTTACATGATATATTCAAATGTTATATGATTATTAAAAAGAGAAAAAAGAAAAAGAAAAATATTTTATTCAAATTATATCTTGTGTTCTTTATAGGAACATTTTTATTTCTGGTCAAAAAGCCAACTAAAAACACAATATGAGAACATTTATATATTCTCCCGATCCTCTCTACAAACTATTCGCAACGACAAGAAGCATGTCGATGATATCCTGCGCTTTGCGGCTGGCTTGCTTCAGATTTGCCGGCTCACTATTACCAAACTCATCATCGCACGTGCCCACATCTGTTAGAGCCGCTGAGCCTTTTGTTTGGAGATCACTGACACTCGCTCTGTCCGATCTCTTCAAGAAAGTAGAGCACTGGTTCAGGTTATCAATCGCGTCACCACAAACACTGACACACGTGTCAGCTTTTCCTCCGCCGATTGAATTAATTTGCAACGTTGATTGTGTTCTGTGCGGCGGCTTTGGCGTTTTCGACTAAGATTTGTCCCAAACCTCGAAGATCTGCGGTACGAGAACGAGGGTCTGATGTAAGAATGTTGTTGCATAAAGAGGGGTTTGTTGATCGGGAACAAACATTTCCTATCAAGTCAGCTTCACAACTGATGGATAGGATAGCTAAAGATAGTGATAAAAAGGCACAAAAGAAAATGGAAGCCATTTTTTTATTTGATTTATTTATTTATTGTGTTTTTTTTTTGGATTTGAGCAAATGGTCTTTTTATAATGGTTTAATAGAGCATACATATATATAATGTAGAATGTGATTTGATTGTGTTCCTAAATTTAAGTTTGTTGAATTATTGGAATCGTTGGTAATCTTTTGGTGATTTATGCAACTTATGTAATGCCTTAATAATGTGGTGGTCATATATTGCAATAGATTAGTGTAATGAAATTCATCACTCTATAAAATGTTGGTAAATCCATTTCACATTATTAGACTTTTAATGTTTCATATTATTTTTCTTTTTGGAAATATTATTTTATTCTAAATTAATCGTCATTTTAGATTTTCAATGAATTATTAATTAAATTAGTTTTAATTTTATCCTTTTAATTATTTAACTTGGAAACAATTAATCTCAAATTTTTTTAGAGATTTCCTTTTTTTTTTCTACGATTTATACACATTTATTAATTTTTTTAATGCGAGCAAAAACTCAAAACGATATTTAAATTGAAATGGATGGAGGGTGGAGTGTATATATATATATATATATATATATGTATATATATATATATATATATATATATATATATATATATATATATATATATATATATATATATACATTGTGTTTTACAAAATTACCCTAGGAATTGGGGTTAGGTTAGAACCCTAACCTGTCCATAAAAAAAATAAGAATCGAGTACATTAATATTTCGGAGGAACTACACAAATTATAGCCCACACAATTACCGTTGATAATAGATAGATAAAAATAGCCCCTACTGAAAATTAGAAAAGATAAAAATAGAACTACGAAAAGTTGCCTATAATTGACAACCACATTCTATAAATGGGCTAAAAACAGTTTGCACCCTTAAAGAATAGGGTTGGTAACACTTATCCCTTAAAGTTACAAATGTAACACTTACCCACTTTCATTAATGAATTTAATGGTAAGACTTTAACTTTGAATGATGTGGTATTTTTTCTTACCTAAACGTCCTTATAGCCATTATATAAATGACGAATAATTTGCCCGTGGAATTCAAGAACTAACTTCGCATCATAATTTTCGATAATCCCACCCTCACTGATACATGATGCAACCTTTGTAGCCGTTGTGGGGGCTTCGTCTGTATTCAGTTTCACCCAACTTGGTTTGGGAGAAGCCAAACAGCTCTTTGAGGGTGTGGAGCTGAGGGACGGGCTTGGTAAGGCCAAGGGAATCGGCCACATATGAAAGACATCTCTCCTGCTTGACACTTCATATAACTTTTTATAAGGTGAATGATCCTAATATGCTAGATCACCTTCATCACTATGATAGCACAAACATGGATATCTTTGTTCTTGCCATCATTTCTTATAATTCCTAAAAATCAAGATATCAAGTTAGGACAACCGGTGGTGATATGTGCATGGTGTGTGATTGTGTGTAAGTTGAAGTGATGTCAATGCTGCAATATATGAGGTATATGCGTACCGTGTGGTTGCATAAATCCAAAAGATGAATAAAAATGTTGTCATGCTCTCATATTTATCTGGCTCCCAAAGAAGAAATGATCCATTAGGCTCGACACAAGGGAGCATGAATAGATGGATCTGAACAACAACAACAATTCAAGGCGAGTAGGGTGCGCCTTTAGACTGAAACTTCAGATCCACCGAAGGAAGAATATATACCAAAGAAAGATAGAGACAACGCAAGCAAGACAAACTACTATATGTTTTGCACTCGTTAAACTATTCAAAGTTCAAACCGTCAAATATACCATAAACATTACATTTTGAATCAAAGACCTCGTAAAACCCGAATGTATTAAGTTCTCTAGATATCCATATTGACTAAGTACTGAAACTAATGAAGAAATATATCACTATGAATTTCTTATTCATTTTTATTTCATTATACGCAAAAATTATAAGAGTTACTTTTGCATATATTAGGAAAATATATGAATTATTATTGAGAACCTCCCAACACATTTGAGTATATTAGGATGGATACAACCCGTTTTTTAATATTTGTCAAACCTCAATTAATCATTAAATTAAATTATTTATTTATTATACATAATTTACCCTTGATGCTATATAATTTTAGATTTGCCATAATTCTCTTTCGTC